CCAGACAACCCGTTCCCCCCCCCAAACCAAAATTTTATTGCAGATTCGGGGTCCTCTAGCCGAGCACAGGAGGACCCCGCCTTCGAAAAATATATATATATATTTCTGGGCAGTTTTTCCCGGCCGGGCGGCGTCCGTACTCAGAATAATAATAATAAATTAATAATAAAAATTTGACGGTGGTTGTGGAGGTTTTCCTCACTCTCCTTCTTCTTTCGAGTGCTGGCTGTCAAGGGGGGAGGGGAAGTGGGGTATAAATTGGTTTTAAAGGGACTAAAGGGGTTTAAAGGGACTGAAGTGTGATTCCGTCATTTATTTTTTTTATCTTCTGTTCCGTGAGGAATTCTGATGCGACCCTCAGCCAAAAGTTGATTGTATTGCAATTCTCCAGAACATAATATTTTCCCGATTTTTTTTTTTTTTTGCGCTGGGGCTGCCCGGGGGTCATGCCTGCCACCCGGCGTGTATCCGGGCACAAGTTGGGTACCCGGGCGACGGGGAAAACAGCCTAGAAAAGGAGTTGATTCCAAAATGCACCTTGTCACTGAATGATAACACATGAGGAATACCCAGTCCGTGTGGCTGAACCGTACACGCAAATAACTGTTAATCAACAAACGCAACACGCCATGAGTTCGAGTCCTGGTGGAATCAGATGTGTACGATAAGGTTAGGTGTTAACCCCATTTAAACCACCATTACCTTTCAGGCTGGGAGGCTAAGTCTTGAATATAACCTATACTGCATTCTCCGGAGTCCAGGGGAGGCTGGGCGCTACCGGACCAAAAAGGGTGGCGGCGCCAGCCAAAACAAAATGAAAAATGTTGAGCTGGCGCGCTAATCTTCTCTGTATTGTTCCACTTTTAATTGATGTCTTGAACTGCAGTCTGCACTTTATCAGCCACAGGACCTCCTCCGTGCACGCACAGGTTCGAACCGGCGCCCTCAGCCTCAAGAGCCGAGTCTCTTAACCACTACAGCCATGGCAAGGTGTACAAAAAAGGATCCATGCCAGCCTTGATATCCACCCCACCCCTGCATGGCTGTAGTGTCCTTCAACTCACACACACACACACACACACACAATACCACACAAGGCATCCGCCACACAGGCAGTAGTCGCACACTCCGCTCTCATCCAGCACAACTGCCTATCCAATGGCTCAGTCAGTTCATTTTCAAACACTTAAAGTTTGTTCCACTCCTCTCCTCTCTGAACTCAAGCCCGTACTGCACTCCTCTCTCTGTACTCCACTGCTCTCTCAACGAAAGAATTACCCAAAAGTGGACATCCATCTACCTGTAACAGCGTTTTTAAATTTGCCAAAGGTTTAAACTTTAAAGACGTGAGTTGGGTTGTCTAGGCTCAAATAAAATTTCACTATATGCTGGAACCTGCTCTGGCCTTTGGCACTTTGTTTTGTGTGTCAAATTCGATACTAATATTTCATATAATTATTAATTTATTATTCAGCGAATTTATCAATCAATATTAAGCTGGCCCGTAATGACATAACTTATCCAATGAACAAAAAAACAGAGGAGGTAAACAGCAACTTACCTCACGGTTCCAGACATGGTCTTTGTATGGAGCAAACTCTGCCTGTGGAAATTGAGATGCTGGAGAAAAAGCTGCAAGCGTGTGTGTGTGTGTGTGTGTGTGTGTGTGTGTGTGTGTGTGTGTGTGTGTGTGTGTGTGTGTGTGTGTGTGTGTGTGTGTGTGTG